TTTTATTACGTTTCTAAATGTGACCCGCGAGGTTAAGAAAACAAATTAATTTTGCGTGAACTTAGGTGGTAGCAATATTAAAATTTTTTTAAACCTATTTTATACTGTATATTATTACGGTTCCGCATGGGCTGGACTATCCATGAAGCATCCATGGATTGATACCGCATGAACCAAGCTTGGTTCAAAATTTTGGATCCAGTATAACTGAATCTAGCAAAATTATAGATGTTATCCTTATCATTGATGTTAAAATTACAAACTTGAGCTTATTTTAATAAATAAGCTCCATAGATTGTAACATGTGGTTATGGCTTGAATTTATCCAATCACATATGAACTTTGAAACATCCAATATAGTCTAGCCTATGTGAAATTAATGATCTAAAAATCCTCACTCGGGTCATCCGACGGGTGAGCCATATGTCACCCGGGTGAAACCTAGATAAAACTTAAAAAGTCCCTCACACGGGTTACCCGACGGGTAAACCATATATCACCTGTGTAAAATTGGATGGGTGAAATTTCATAACAATCTTGCTTGTCTTTTAGATTCATTGATTGTTTAACATTCTGAAAATTCTCGATAGTAAACATACACAAATTTCTGGTCACTTGTAGGTCGGTCAACGGGTAACTCGTGGGTTGACCCACCTGGGTGGTGTTACGCCCAAAATTGGGAGAGCAATATCTGTGTATAGCATATTAGCTTTGGCCGCAGAATAAACTATGTGGGTGAGTATTTTATTAGAGATGCTACATGAACTCTTCTAGGGAATGATACATTATATATACTTATATCTATAAGCTCAATTACATATCAGATATTATGAAATAAGAGAATTGAAAAAAATGTATTATTTATAAATATATACATGTAGTAATTGGAATGTAATCGATTACCAAAATGAGGTAATAACTTTGACAAGATTATGTAGTAATGATTTTCATAATGATAACAAAATATATATGAAAAATTTTAATATTTTCTCCTACTCAAAGATGAGTTTCGGCAAATTGCACACATTATCATCAAAGCAACAAGCTTGCAGATAATTTATAGACAGTTATAAAATCTTTCTTATTATTTTACACACCTATATGACTTTTTAAAACAGTTACAGAATATTTTTAGAATTTCTTTGGTTTGTTTTTTTTTTATTCATTTATTTAATCATTTTGTTTATCAATTATTAGTAGATTTCCCTTTTAAATTAAATATAGATTATGTTAAATTCAAAAATATTGAAGTACTGTATAGTAGTTGATTATTTTAGTAAGTAAGGTTTATATACTATAAATACTAGTAAAATTTTTTCATAATTTAGATAATAGAAATATATTTTACTTCTATTTATAAAGTAGTTTTTGTTAATTAGATTAATTATTTGAAAGATGAGTACTATATAGCATGGTGTTTAATTGTTATATAATTAAAATTATAAAAATTATATTAGATAATTATTTTTATATAAATTTATAATATAAAATAATTAAACACTATATTGCATAGTGCCTATCTCTAGTTATAATTTTATTATTATAATCTTAACATTCTTTAGTTTTTAAACTTTATTAAGTATTTTTTTTATTCTATGGTTCACGTCACTTATAGTTATCAAACAATGCAGATCAGTCCGAAATTTGGATGTCGATCTTTGACATGCCATAATTTCTATTGGCCAATATTAATAAGCCTAAATCAGTAAAATGAAACTACTATAAATATAAGATTGATCGATTTCGCAATAGTTTTTACTATAGTTATATAAATCTTTATTGAATACAAAAAAAATTAGCATTTATATATTTAAAGCTAAATACCTTTTTTTTTATAATTGCAAGTTTAACTAATACAGTAAATAAATTTTATTCTAATTTATCCAACTCCTTATAAATACTATCCAGGATTCTTCTTTGAGTTTTATATTTTTTTACTGCATATTCTACTAGTTTTTCGCTAAGACCATTCCTATAAAGATTCATATAATGCCAACATTTTCTTGAAAAATTTTTAATGGTTATTAGAGGTACTGATTCAAGACTTTCAGGAATGGTTTTTTGTAATCCCAACCATGAATAATCATAATTTTCACATGCATGCCTTTTAGCAGCTTCCCAATATCTTTCGATAAAGTTTAACTCACAATGAAATTTGGGAAAAAAAATGCATTTATGTCCTGCATTTTCAATTAATTCTTGAATTGCATTTTTTTGGGCAAGAAAATCAGGTTCCAGAGACAATACTCTACATGCACAACAAGAAATTCTTGAAGCATCTTCGATTTTTTGTTTGCAATTTTTATAATCTAAAACTAATCCTTCAGATGGCCATTTTTCATGTTCAATTAGCACTTGTTTGATCCCTTTAGGCTTTTCTTGAAGTTTCTTATCTAATTTTCCATATAATTCCTCATATAGCTTCACATCTAAATCAGTTTCTGGAAACACCATCGATTGTAGTTGACTATTTTCTCCAAAATAAGTATCATGCATAATCGGCTGCTTTCCGCCTGAGCCTAGATTCATCCTACTTGCAATTAAAGTGTCTTCACTAAATGCACTGTGATTAGAGCTATTGTCGAAAGCAAACACAGCCACACAATCAGGATACAAAGTCTCAAAAATAGGAATCGCCTTATATTGAATTTGTTCGAGAAGGTGTTTCGTTGTCTAGTAACCTTCTTGATTTGCACCAGGTATCAAGTAACATCATGCTTCTTTAGGTATGTCAGGGTATTTTTCTATATCGGATTGTTGTAAACGTAAACGTTCATCAACTTCAGTAAGAAATTCACTAACCATAATCGACCTCCCGTTTCCTTTTTTTCGTAATAGCATTTTCCGATCTTTGTCTATACACTACGTTTATCGTTATTTGAATAAAATATACATTCATCATATACTACAAGAATTCGTTCTTTTTCTCCTTGGGGTAAACTAGGACATATCCTTTCCATAGACTCACCTTCATACTTTGATATATACTTTTCATGATTGAATATTTTTTCCAAAAATTCTCTTCTATATTTCAAGACATCATCCCTCTCATGACCATCATAATATATATTTTGATAATATCATTGGAACGAATAACCAAGAACCTTTAGCCATCTCTCTGCGGTTTTTAAGCTAACAGTTTTTTTTTTAAAATTCCAATATTAGGAAACAACACTTCTTCGACAAATTTTTTAAATGTAGCGGAAGTAACCTTAAAATTTTGGCTTCTAATCCAAATGTGACATTTGTCTCTAATATCTTCATCATCAATTATTCTAATTGTTTTTTGGTGTTTTCTATGTCTAGATGGTGGGAGCTTATCATTAAGTAACCAATACTCCGTAAGATACCGAATTTTTCGAGCTTTCCACACATTACCATCAATAAAAACCTTACGAGCAACATCCAAGCTAGCTTTGATTTTTTCGTGTTTATTATTTTTACTTAATAAACTAAGGTATTCAAAAATAGCCCTTTTATAATTGTATTCTTTAACCGTTAATTTACTATGGTTTTGTTCTAACTGCTTTTTTAAATCATTCACCTTTTTATTTATCATAAGGGCATATGAGTCAGGTTCACTATCTGAGTCATCAGAGATTTCTTCTAAGTCGTTTGGGTCTGATGGTTGTGGACTTGTAAAAAAGCTAGTAATTTTTTTTGTTCCAACTGCTGCTTTAGTAAAAACACCATTTGGCCCGTAATTATCATAATAAGTTGACTTTGGTGTCTTGCCTTTCATATATGGGCCCCGTTTTGTTTTTTCGAATTGACTGTCATTTTTCCATACCAAGTTAAGTTCTTTAATTTCACTCTCCATATCGTCCCATCTACTATCTTCCTCATCTCCCTATTCTTTATCACTAACATCTAACTCATTATTATATTTATTCCAGCCACCGTTTTCCTCACCTCCGTTTTCATTGCTAACGTTCAGTTCACCTTCAGTATCCCTATTATATAGCTTATTAAATTCATTTACCATGTCTTCTTGATCAGTTAAACCCATTTTTTTGGCACTATACTGTCCTTCAACATTTCTAACCTGATTTTTAGCTTTTCTTTTTCCTTTGGAAAGAAGCGGCATTTTTTAATTTTTATAAAAAGTTAGAAATATACAACTTGTCACTATGTCTAATCTCAAAACTAATTCAAAGAAGATTTTATTTATGGTTTATACGAGGTATCTTTTTTAATTTTTATTTTTTTAATAATTAATGTGACGAGATATGTTTTATATATTAATTTAAACATAAGTTCCTTTATAAACATTTCAGACATATTTTTTTTATTCAAGAAAACGTATTCTATTATTTTGATCAAGGCTTTGGCTAAAATAATAATGAATATTATGAATCTGATTTCCTTCTAACTATTTTTTTATAAGTTTGGTTTCAAATCTAAAATTCATATTTCATTTTCATACGCTTTAATACAGCCTTATTTAAGACCCACCCATTTCGTCATTAGCTTTATTTAAGGTTTGCTATTTTTAGTTTTATCAACTTGACTCTTAACTACCTTAATTACTTATCTTTTTAGATTAGTGTCTTTGGGTTGCTATATTCTAATCACGAAATCATGTGGGAGTAAAGCTTTGATCATTAAATGTATATATACTATGATAAGTGTCTTAATAAATATTTTGTTTGAATTTACCATTTTTATTTCATTTATTATTTTTTTATGTTTTATATCAATCAGAATACTAGAGTGTGTCTACTATGATGTAACCCAAACTGTTTCAGTACCAATTGACACTTACGACACTTTTTTGTTTAGATTTGGAATATTGCCATATGAAACTTTTTCATCAAATCTAATGTTACTCTTATATAGCGGTGTTATATTATTTCGTATGAATTAATCATATAATGTTCGCTTTGCATGTGTTATCTCATGTCTCATTTGAGGTCATACGGTACACAAAATACAGTCAGCTCTTCCAAATCCGGACCTGGATAATCCGAACCCTTAATAAACTCTATAAAACTGAACATAAACTTCAGAACATTTGTAAATTTGATTATAAAGTTCGGATTAACAACACAGTAACTCTTTGAAAATTGAACTTTTTGTTATTTTTACATACAAGAATGGACTGTTCGGAAGAGAGAGTTGACTGTATATGCTTAATTCTATTGCACAAGAGGCATATTTTTCATTATATCCAAGATTTAATTACTTTTAAATATTATTTGATTTTGAAGATTGTACTATGTATATTATTTTGTGTGTTTTGCACTTATCAGATCACGTGATATTTCTGTTCACTGATTGGACAAAATAAAATGATCGATGTCCGAAATTTGAAGATTACTAATAAAAATATCCAACACTTAGCTTTAATAATTCGTGAAAATAAAGAACTACCAAAAAAAATAAACTGTAAATCTGATAGAGAAACATTAAATTTATTATTTTTACAGTCTAATTTTTTAATTTTATTTTAATAGAAAGACTAGTTATTGTTTGAAGTTGTATAAATTTGTTTGATAACTATAGGTGACGTGAACCATAGTAATATTATCTAAAATTATATTATACTCTTGCATTATAATTATTAAACTGATTTGAATATAATCTGTAATTTTTAATTTTATTTTGCTAATTTATTTGAATTGATATTTAATTATTCAAACTTATTAATATTAGTTAATTTATATTTATATTTAATAGCTTTACTATTAGATATTTTATTAATATATTTGATCTTTTAGATTAGTTAATTACTTAATAAAGATAAGTTTTTTTATTGTTTATTTGTAATATTTTATTATTATTTGTACTATTTTTTTTGCTTTTTTGCTTTTATTTTTTTATTTTTATTTATTTTATATTTTATGATGATATTATTTTGTTTGTTATATTTAATGTTTCTGTTTACATTTTTTTTTAATTTAATTTATTTTTTTAAACTATTTTTTATTATTATATTACTATTATTATATAGAATCTTTGTAGTAGAAAAAGCAAAACTCAAATATATCTTATTTTGAAATAATTGAGTTTAATTACTTTGTTTTGAGTTTTGGACTAATCTGATTAACCAAATTTTTAATTTTGATTAGTTAAAGGTAATAAGTAATTACTAAATAATCTTGTAATATACTTTGCTTTATGAAGTTTTGTGCAGTTTTCTTTTATATTATCTCAATTTTCATTATACAAATCAATTTATATTTATAATTAAAAAATGTTAATCATATTGAAATTTACACTAATCTAATAAAAACTTAAATTTCATTTTTGAATAGTTTTTGTTAGTTAAGATTGCTTGTATTATTAAAGTTTTTTATAATTTTATTGTTGTTAATAGAGTTATTTTTTTAATATTAAATTAGAAAATTATTATTATTTTTTATAATCTTCAAAGGTGAAGCTATACCTCTATCTTTATTAAAATTCAATTAAACTTCTTTACAAATTAGAGTAAAGAAATTCCATTATTTAAACTTAATATTTATAAAGATACTAAGACTAGAGACTCAGATAGAGCTCTTGTTAACTAAAAGTTTTAGAAGTTATTTGTAACCTAAACCTAAAATTAAAAAATTATTTCTAATATTGTTTATATAATTTATATTTAAATATTTATAGAAAATATATTCTATTTATTAATTTATTAATAATTAAAATATATAAAGATTTAATTTGTTCTTTCTAAATATATATTATTTTAATTAAAATTCAAATAAGAATAGTTATTATTTTTATTATGATCAAACCTTCTTATAGTCACCCTCTATATAAGTACATTATATAAAAATTCTCTTTACAAATATATTTATTTTAAAACTAATTATTATAAACATATAGAAAAAACTACTTTATAAGCATATCTTAGTAAAATTCTCTTTACAATTATATAAAACTTTATCCCAAAAGGTGTAATTATAGGAAGATTAGACTATATTATTATTTATTATTATTTATTATTATTATTATTTATTATTATTATTATTATTTATTATATTAGAGGTGTGACGACTTAGTGAAGTGGTCAAGTTGTCGCCCCCCAAGCGGCACATCCAGAGTTCAATTCCTACTAACGACGAAAATCGAATTCTTCTGTGTATTGATAACTATTCGGGTGTTGGGATGTAGATCCTGTAACGACGGTCAGACCAAATAGGTGTAAGGGGTAATGATCGCCTAACAAATGGCTTATCTCGCAA